GAAACCAGTGAACTGATATTTACTCTTTGATAGATCATCAAAAAAGTTACAGCTTAGCAAAATCCCATCTGTCACAGATCCTACAGATTGCCCCTTCCTGGACACCCAGGGGAAGTGAATCCAAGTCTCTGCCATTCCAAATCCCCAGGGTATTTCAGCCACTGCCCCAGTGTCAGGGTCTCTAAGCACAATCTCAGAGTGCAGTCCTTCTATCTGGCATCATTCTTGAGTGTTGGAACTGGCTGTCCAGCCACCTAGCCTCTCTGGGGATAGCACTGACCCTGCAGACACACTGCCCTCCCAGAACTCCACCCCAAAAGTGTGAAACAATCTAGTTTACTATTTAACTCTCTCAGGTTGCAGCCGATGAAGTGAGCTGTAGCTCACGAAAGCTTATGCTCAAATAAATTGGTTAGTCTCTAAGGTGCCACAAGTACTCCTTTTCTTTTTGAGAATACAGAATAACACGGCTGTCACTCTGAAACCTGTATTCCTGCAGGCAGGCAAGCAGGGTCCTCCACTCCCTTGCCTACCCAGCCCCCTGCAAGCAGCCTCTCTCATCTTAATCAGTTGAAAAATGGCCCTTGCTCCCAGTGCTATGCTTTTATACACTGCTGCTGGGGTTACCTGCTTCTTTTGTTGTGCCTTTTGGTAGTTTTCCACTGCTCTCAACCCTCCTCTCCTTTCAGGCAAGAGGAGGATGTGTCTTTTCCCAGCTAGAGCAAACCCATTGTCCGAAGGTGTTTAACTTTGAATAGCCCATCATTGAGTGCTGATCACTCACCATCCTCTCTGGACCTGGCAGAGAGATGACACAATTCTGGGGGATCCACATACATATAGGCTTTCTATTAGGGCTGTCTATTAATTGCAGTTAACTCATGTGATTAACTCAAAAAAATTAATCGTGATTAATCGCAGTTTTAATTGCACTGTTGAACAATAGAATACCAATTAAAATTTATTAAATATTTTGGATATTTTTCTACATTTTCATATATATTGTATTCTGTGTTGTAACTGAAATCAAAGTATATATTATTTTTATTACAAATATTTGCACTGTAAAAATGATAAACAAAAGAAATAGTATTTTTCAGTTCACCTCATACAAGTACTGTACTGCAATCTCTTTGTCATAAAATTGCAATTTACAAATGTAGGGTTTTTTTGTTACATAACTGCACTCAAAAACAAAACAATGTAAAAACTTCAGAGCCTACAAGTCCACTCAGTCCTACTTCTTGTTCAGCCAATCGCTAAGACAAACAAGTTTGTTTACATTTACAGGATATAATACTGCCCTCTTATTTACAGTGTCACCAGAAAGTGAGAACAGGCATTTGCCTGGCACTTTTGTAGCCGGCATTGTAAGGTATTTAACATTCAGGCCCCTTCATGCTTTGGCCACCATTCCAGAAGACATGCTTCCGTGCTGATGACACTCGTTAAAAAAAATGCGTTAATTATATTTGTGACTGAACGATTTGGAGGAGAATTGTATGTCCCCTGCTCTGTTTTACCTGCACTCTGCCATATATTTCATGTTATGGCAGTCTTAGATGATGTCCTAGCACATTTTGTTCATTTAAAGAACAAACTTTCACTGCAGATTTGACAACGCAAAGAAGGTACCAATGTGAGATTTCTAAAGATCGCTACAGCACTTGACCCAAGCTTTAAGAATCTGAAGTGCCTTCCAAAATGTGAGAGGGATGAGATGTGCAGCATGCTTTCAGAAGTCTTAAAAGAGTAACACTCTGATGCGGAAACTACAGAACCCGAAACACCAAAAAAGAAAAATCAACCTTCTGTTGGTGGCGTCTGACTCAAGATAATGAAACTGAACATGCGTTGGTCTGCACTGCTTTGGATTGTTATCGAGCAGAACCCGTCATCAGTATGGACGCATGTCCCCTGGAATGGTGGTTGAAGCGAAGGGACATATGAATCCTTAGCACATCTGGCACATAAATATCTTGCGACACTGGCTACAACAATGCCCTGAGAACGCCGGTTCTCACTTTCAGGTGACATTGTAAACAAGAAGCAGGCAGCATTATTTCCTGCAAATGTAAACAAACTTATTTGTCTGAGCAATTGGCTGAACAAGAGGTAGGACTGAGTGGACTTGTAGGCTCCAAAATTTTACATGGTTTTATTTTTGAATGCAGTTTTATTGTACATAATTCTACATTTGTAAATTCAACTTTCATGATAAAGAGATTGCACTACAGTACTTGTATTAGGTGAATTGAAAAATACTATTTTTGTTTTTTTTACAGTTCAAATACTTGTAATAAAAATAAATATAAAGTGAGTACTGTATACTTTGTATTGTGTTGTAATTGAAATCAGTATATTTGAAAATGTAGAAAATATCCAAAAATATTTAAATAAATGGTATTCTGTTATTGCTAAATGGTGAGATTAATTTTTTTAATCACTTGACAGCCGTACTTTCCATATTACAATGTCATAAAATCATCTATAATTAAGAAGTGGTACAGACAGAACCCCAGTTCATCACACCATTTTAATCAACGTTATAGGTTTTAAGAAAGTGTTCATTAGTGTTCAGCCTGTGGAATATTGCTAGAAGCTATGGGACACCACACAAGCTGATCAACATAAGAAGGAGTATATATGACAGAAGTACATGCACAGTAAGATCAGATACAGACCTGGCTGAGTGGTTTGATATTGTGACTGCAGTTAGACAAGCGTGTTCGTTATCAACAGTCCTCTTGGCATTAACAATAGACTAGGTGATCAAGTGGTCAACAAAGGGCATTGTGGACAGTGTCAAATGGGTTAGCGAAGATGAGTTATACAACCTTGACTTTGCCAACAGTATTGCTTTACTAAGTATGACATGGAACAACATAGGGCCCTTACATCAGAGGTAGAATAGGAAGCAGCAAAAATAGGATTGAAAGGAAAAGCTGAGAAAAAACAAGATTATGAAGATAGGAAACTGGACCACAGATGGAAAGGTGTACATGGCTGGAATAGCAGAATTCTTCTATCCGTTCGATTTCTATCTGGGGAGTGTGATGACATTTGAAGGTGTCTGCAATACAGATATTCATTTGAGATTAGGAAAAGCAAACACCACTTTGGAAGGATGGACAACATCTGGTCAAACAAAGGTCTCTACACCAAACTAGCAATCCGACTACACCATAAGGTTCTACTGAGCAAGCTACTGTACAGAGCAGAGACTAGTCAAATTTTCCTATAAGTATTTTTGTACTTTCTTGAATGCCACCCCATATGCATAGGAAAAGCTTTCCATAAAAATCCAGAAAGCCACTACATTTTTCTCCTTTAGATTTTTTTGAAAAACTCAGCTGTGCTGGGGATGGCTACAAAACATTTGATAATGGCTAGGCAGTTGCTGTGCTAAGACCACTACTTATTATATTAATTGTCTCACTGTTACCTTGTTCTCTATCTATTTGTCTGTTGTGTGTTTCGTTTGTCTCTCCTCGTATATTTAAACTGCAAGATTTTGGGGCAGGGACCTTTCCGTTGTTTGTTTACGGTGCCTAGCACAAAGGGGCCATAAACCCTGACTGATGCTTCTACATACTACCCCAATACAATATAATAATGAAATGATCAGCAGTGAAATAAATACCAATACTTACAATTACAGTGTAGTCTTTAGCTTGACTAGTAATTAATTTATCACACAGCCAGGTTTTTTTTGCAATGGATGACAAATTGTTTTTACACAGCCCACAGATGTAAAATATATATCAGTGCTGAACCACAGGTAGCAACAGGGATGCTGGGACTGCTAGAACATAAATTTAAGCATATGCAGGATTGGGACCTATGTTTAGCTTTTGCAAAATATGTATAGTTCTCTTTTCCATTCCTTTAAGGTCATTATTACAGATCAAGAACAGAATTTCAAAGGAATTATCTTATTCAAAATGTTTGATTGCCATTTTCTTTGGCTAATTTGGGGACCAGTGCAACTTCCATTGATTTCAGTGGGAGACTTTTCTTTGACTCTAGTGTGAATTGAATTGGGCCAACAGAGTGCATCACAAGAATGTTATGGTGACAAAGGAAATAGCATTTTTGTCCTTGTTCTCCTAGTTCTTTGATTTATAAAGAGAGTCCTAAAGTTCAACTGACACTTAAAGCCCTCATATACAGTGGGCCTAATTTCTGTTAGATGCAGTAAGAAAACACACATGGTGATAAACATAGTATAAATACCTAATCAGCTTAAAAAAAAAAAGACAATCAATATTTGAAATAGTTTATATTTGTTATTGCTGAAAGTACTAAGCAAATCTGTATCATGATGAAATTTCAGTCTGGCTTACTTTCTGTTGTAATACAGACGAAATGAAAAAGCAGGTTAATAATTGGCTTGGTGAGTAATTGGTTTTGTTTCTGATTGTAGTATATTGCAGTGTCTTTTAACTACTTTCCAATTTTATTACACAGTACAGTTTACTGTAGTATTTGCTATTGTAGCTGTGAATAAAATATGTAAAAATAACATTTTTTTTTCAGTGAGTATACTGGTTTTTCAAGAGAGGTATTTTTTTCTATTTTGTTAAAAGAACAAACAGACTAAATTGTCTGCTGGCAGAACTCCATATTTAAAATAAACAATAAGGGGTAAAAATAAAGATATAATGAATTTTATCTTTTAAAATTGTACAAAAATGAAAATTAACAGTCGTTGAACAATCAAGGTTAATATCATGGAAATGAAGGAGGATTAATGTGCATACAAGAGAGTCTACTGTAGCATTTTCCTGTGAACAGTCCATAATAAAAGCAGTAACATGCACACATTTCAAAAACATGGTTTCTCTTTCTAGAGGTGCACCGTATAAGCTGCATATTGTCTTCTGATGAAGAAACCATTCAACTTCACTGAGTTGCTGTTTGTGTTTGACACCTAAATTATTATGCAGGCTGCTTGAAAAATAAGAGCAAGCTACAATGTGAACTTGTCAAAAACTCACCCGGTAAGAATGTCCCTGTTGTTTGAGGCTGTAGCAAATGGATTCCTTGATAGCAGGCAGAAACATTTTCCTGGTATTGGAAGCTTTTTCAGAATAAGTTCAGCAGAATCTCCAATGTCTCATTTCTCTATTAAGAATAAACAATAGCAGAGCTTAGAAAAAGAACGCTGACTCCACTGCACCACTCTTGTTAGTGTTACTGAACTCTGTATATACATGTGACTTCCCCCCACACATACACACACGTATAATCCTTTAAGCTTTAGCTGCATGCTCTGATTGGCTGAGAGGTCTATTACAAAAACAACCCCTCCACCCTGATATCTCTAAGTGATTAAGTCAGGAGGGTTAAGGGGCATTAATCATGGGGTCTGATCGTTACTCAGGGGCCTATTCTGTGTAACAGTGTGCACAATCATGAACACTTTTGTGTTTTTTTTAAAGCACATATTAAAAAGCATTATCCTGGTTTGAGAACTGTTGACTTATAATATAGTTACATACATAAAGCAAATACTAAATGGATCCAGAGCGTAACTAAGGTTAGGGCTGAAAATCAGAGCCATTCTAATTTAGGGCAGTCTTTAAAACATGCTTACAGTGGTTTATACTACCGTAATATGGCATGTTCTAGGAACATTTTCAGTCGTTCAACGAGAATATGGCATGATTTTAATAACAAGATATCACTAAGGAAGACTTTATCAATTGCTCTTTCAATGTTACAAACATTTTTTATTTTAAACAAATGAGATTTTAAGTATCTAAATTAGTTGCATTTGAATAAAGAGTGTATTGTACATTGATTCCAATTATTTAGCTTGGATTCAGATGACCCTGAAATAATTTGTCTTTACTTCAGACAATAATCAGCAATTTAATTTATGTAGGTTCTCCTTCCTCCCCCAAGCAATAATCAGCAATGTGTAACACAACTTTTTATTAACAGAAGAAGGGAGTGATCCTCCTCCCATTGAAGTCAATGGGAAATTTGTCATTGATGTCAGTGGGAATAAGATTGAGCCCAAAATGTATTTTTTTCAGCTCCTGAAACCATTAGTTGCTTATTTTTTATTCTTAAACTATCTTGTAAGATAAATCTTCACAATACAAAATACATTTAAAATCAACCTAGAGTGAACAACTGAAAAGCAGAACCGTATATTGTTTAGCAGTAGTTACAGGTAAACCACAAATTGCCTAATTAAATAATGTTGTGGTTTATTGAGGAGATTAGACATTAGAAAAGGTAAAAGACTGACTCCATCATTTCTTATTTATAATCTATATAATAGTCTAGTGGCTCTGGGAACTCTGCTGTAGTTATGTCTGTCAGCATTTCCATTATATGCTCTATTGTTAGTTGGCTGTTAAATTGTTAGATAAGATGCACATTTTCCCCCCCAGAGTTGTATTTAGATGGACTAAGAAAGGTTCGGCAGCTCTGGATGATTATTTTTCTATTGTTAAAACGGCTTGTACAATTTTATATTTATATATTAATTACACTTTTGGCAGTAGACCATTATGTGGATAGGATTTTATTTATTTTGTATTTTGAATCACACAAAAATTTGATCTGTTGTGATTTACAGTTGAGAAAACTCCCATGATGGTTGTAGGGATTATAAAATGTAATGTGAAATATGCTTTACTGGTGAAAGTCAGACCTTCTAAACTCATAAACCTCAATAAATGAACTTTGTGGAGAAAACAAATGTAAGGGTTGGGGGATGCAATGGTTCTCCCCCTTCCATCCTTTAGCCAGACCACAAGGCTCCCTGCATCTTTTATTCTACAGCTGGAATAGTGGCCACAGCTTGTGTTATAGGGGTCTCCCTACCCTGTGCCTCAGTTAAGGCAGGATCCCATGCCCTGGTAGTTCTCACTTTAGCCTGTTTGGAGCTCCTCTGAGGCTGGTCCCATGCACCGGTAATTCTCACTTAGTCACTTTAGCCTGTTCGGAGCTCCTCTGAGGCTGCTTTACACACTAAGGGTACATCTACACTTCAACAAAAAACCTGGCAGAGAGTTTCAGAGCCCAGGTCAAGTGATTCAGGCTTGTGCTGTGGGGCTAGTGTAGGTGTTCCTGCTCAGGCTCTGAAACCCAGCAACAGAGGAAAGTCTCAGAGCCAGAGCTCCAACCTGGGCAGGAATGTCCACACTGCTATTTTTAGCCCTGTAGCGCACCCAAATCAGTTGACCCAGGCTGTGAGACTTGCTGTTACAGGGGCTTTTTTTTTTTTTTCCACTGTAGATGTACCCCTCAGAGCCCAAGTCTGCGGGTTCATACTACAGAGCTAAAAATAGCAGCGTAGACATCCCCATCACCGCTTGCTGAGTTTCAGAGCCCAAGCTCCAGCCCAAGGGTGGAGCTTCACTACTATTTTTAACCCCATAGCATGAACCCCCCAAGTCTGTAGACCCAGGCTCTGACTCACCGTCACAGGGGGTTTTTTTTGCAGGGTAAATATACCCTAACATACTCCTGCTCCCAATCCCCATCTCCACCAAGCAGAAGCATTACAGGGCTTGAGTGGTTCTTAGAGCTTTGTGGACCCTCATCATCATAAATTTCACCCTTAATTTCTCAGATTACTATCAGTCAAATGTACAATTTTGTTGATGTTAGCTTGAGTAATATACAGTATGAGATATAACAATGCCTTTCATATAGTCCCCTTTGACGATTCCATAAAGCTATTGCGTGTCTGCACTTAGAAGTAATGTGGATAGCATAAAAGTCTTATTTGATTAGAGCAGAACCTTGACTACTAAGTGCATTGTAATGGCTCAAATAAAGCTGAAGTCGTGAATGGTTCAAATGAAGTTATTTCTGGAGTATTAGCAGACTTGATACAGACAATGGAAAAGTCAGGTGTGTATTCTGTGTACAAATGTTAAATAATAAAAGTAATCTTGTATCGACTTTGGTTTTGTTCATGCAAGTATGATAATAAATTTCAAACATTAGGTTTTTAAGGAATGTTTAATACTAAATAAAATAGAATAGCCTATATCTGCTGAGTTAGGTTAAAAATTACTAAATCAGTTGAATTCATCAACAGACTAAAGAAAAACTAGGGCTTAGTTGTTTAATATTTTTGTGGTGGCTGCAATATAACTTTATATTTACCCAAGTGCATGTGTTGAAATACATCACATTTTCATTTACCTGTGTAACATTACTAAATCAGTGGATATATAATAGTGTCATTGCCATATGTGTATAATGTGTACAAACATCAATGGGAGTTATTGACACATACGAAAAGCTGAATGGAGGTACTTGTCAATAGTGTTTGTATCTCTTAGTTGATATTTATCTAATTTTTCCAATATAATATCTTCAGTATAATTGTTTAAGCATAAGAGAAATAATAAATATAATCATAATATTTAGATCTACTGAGGTCTGGTTAATTAATTTGTATTAGGTGAGTGAGTATTCAAAATATTAATCAGTATCCAGTCATAAAAATATCCATATAGTGTATTTGGTAATTAATTTAAGAAAAATTGAGATTGCAAATGGGATCCCATGGATGAGATTAATTTGCAAGTTTTAGATTGTGAGGTCTTAAGAGCAGGAACTGTTTTCCTATATGTTTATAACCTAGTATATTTGAGGCGTTTTGTTCATTTTTCCAGCTACCGAACAATTACAATTGTGAGGTTTATTAGAAAACTCAAAAAAACTAACAAACAAACAAACATATGTTGCAACGTTGACTATCCAAATATTTGAAGCCCTTAGGGCAGGGGCGGGCAAACTTTTTGGCCTGAGGGCCACATTGGGTTTTGGAAATTGTATGGAGGGCTGGATAGGGGAGGGAGTTGTGGCCCGCCCCCACCTCCTATCTGCCCCCCTCATCCCCCCCCAGGACCCCTGCCCCATCCACACACCCCGCTCCCTGTCTCCTGACTGCCCCTGGACCCCCGCCGCCCAACCCAACCCCTCCTCTCATTCCTGACTGCCCCCCAGGACCCATGCCCTATCCAACCACCCCTTCTCCCTGACCACCCCCGGAACCCCTGCTCCTGACTGCCCCCCGCCACCCCATCCAACTCCCCCTTCTCCTTCCTGACTGCCCCCCCGGAACCCCTGCCCCCATTCAACCCCCCCTTCTCCCTGTCCCCTGACTGCCCCCAGAAGCCCCACCCCTGACTGCCCCTGCCACCCCATCCAACCCCCCCCTCCTTCCTGACTGTCCCCCTAGGACCCCTGCCCCCATTCAACCCCCCTTTTCCCTGCCCTCTGACCACCCCAACCCCGTCCATGCCCCCCCCCCAGACTCCCCCGGCCCCCATACCGCGCTGCCTGGAGCACCGGTGGCTGGTGGTGGCGGCAGCGGCATGGCCCGGCTCCAGCCGGGCGGTGTGGCTGAGCACTGGGTCAGGCCGGGCTCTGCAGCTGTGCTGCCCCAGGAGCTCACCCCGCCGCCCAGAGCATTGCGCCGGCGGCGAGGTGAGACTGCGGGGGAGGGGCCGGGGACTAGCCTCCCCGGCCAGGAGCTCAGGAGCCAGGCAGGAGGGTCCTGCGGGCCTGGTGTGGCCTGCGGGCCTTTGTTTGCCCACCTCTGACTTACTGTCTACACCTCTACTATAGAAACCCAGCCAGTTTCCCTGTTGATAGTGTGAGACCCCTCCGTCCTGTTGAGCCAGCTAACTTGGGAAGCTGGCTAGCAAACTTCTGAACCTTCCTGACACACTTGCGGGACATAACCATGTATTTAGATAACAGGACTGAGGAGGATGGATAAGGGAGGTGCTATTAGAAAAATCTGTGCTATGCACAAATATTTTGCTCTTTGCCAACAATGGACAAAATCCTGCTATTCTCACTCATGCAAAATTCACACTCATTGGTAGTTTTCATGAGTAAGGGGATTAGGATTTGGCCCAACATAAAAATCTTGAGTAAGTAACATCATCCCTCCTCCCCATCCATTGTTCCACACACGCACCCACAGCTCCAAAAAAGGGGGGGGGGGGTCAAACATAAAACCCCATTCTATTTAGCGTTGTTAAATCAGTTTGCTTGGTAACTGAAATCTTTTTGTGCCTATCTCTGATATGAAGAGGTGTTGTTGCATGATTCTGCAATAATAAGACTCAGTCCAGTTC